GCTGTTTGATGTATCTTTTGAAAACTAAGTGGAAGCTGCCATGACCCCACCACCCATGCACTCATCCCTGCAGAGTTAGCACCATGTAGACATTGCCAAGGGTTACTGCTTGTGCCCTCCAAAACAGCAATCCAAACCAACCTGGTCCCACATGAGCTGTGCCTGGGGCAGCTGAGGAATGCTGCACTGGAATGCAGGGAGCAGGGTTCCAAGGCAGCTCTGGGCAGTGAGCCTATGGACGTTACCCCAGGCCTGTCCTCCAGAATCATTCTGCCCTCCTAGAGCTCTGGACCTGTGATGGGAGGGGCAGCCTCGAAAATCTCTGAAATAGCTTTGAGGTCATTCTCCCATTGCCTTGGTGAATAGCATCTGGCTCCCTTCCATTCATGCTAATCTCTTCAGCAAGCAGTCTCTGGGCCACGCTCTGAGTTCAGTCTCCTAAATGTACCTTTTTATATTTTACATGGCTAGGCTATAAATTTTCCAAATCTTTCACTCTGCTTCTTTTTAAATTATAAATTCTGTCTTTAAGTCATTCCTTTGTTCTTGTATCTCACTATATGTGATTAAAAATGGCCATGTAGCAGCCTGAATGCTTAACTGCTTAGGTATTTCTTCCACCAGATATCCTAGTTTGTCATTCAAATTCCACTTTCCATAAAGCCGTCAGGCATGGACACAGTTCCACCATTACTACTTTATAACAAAGATGCCCTTTATTCAAGTTTCCAATACCTTGTTTCTCATTTCTGTCTGAGACCTCATCAGAATGGCCTCTACCAATATTAAATATAATCCTGGTAGATATATTGCCAGTAAAGGCCATTTACTGTTAATGTTGGTAGAGATATAGACAGTAAAGGCCATTTACTGTTAATGTTGGTAGAGATGTAGACAGTAAAGGCCATTTACTGTCCACATCAGAGACTGTGTCCATATCTCTATCAACAATCGTGACCACTGAAGTAATCTTTAAGAAGATTCTGACTTTCCCTATATCTCTTCTCTTCTGAGACTTCACCCTTAGGTCTCCATTTATGGCAATATAGGCTCTTTCTAGCATGCTTCTCAAAATTCTTCCAGTCTCTACCCATTATCCAGTTCCAAAGCTACTTTTATGTTTTCAGATATTTGTTATAGCAATAGACCCACTTCTCAGTGCCAATTTTCTATCTTAGTCCATTTACTGTTGCCATAACAATACCACAGACCAGATAATCTATAAATAACAGGCCTTTATTTAGCTCATGGTTCTGGAGGCTGGAAAGTTCAGGAACTTGATGCCAGCATCTGTTGAGGGCCTTCTTGTTTAGTCATCCCTTGGCAGAAAGCAAAAGGCAGAAGGGGCAAGTGAGTACACAAGATAGATGCACCAGGGGCCAGCGTCACTTTATAACAACCCACTTTTATGGTAACTAACTCACTGTAGTAATAACATTAATTCATTAATGAGGGCTCTACCCGCATGATCCAATCATCTTTTATTAGGCCCTACCTCCCAACATTGTTTCATTGGGGCTTACATTTCCAGCACATGAATTTGGGAGACACATTTCAACCATAGCAAGCATGTTAACTAAAGAAAAGACATTTAAAAAATGAAATCATTTAGTAGTGAAAATATGATGTATTCGATGAAAAATACACCAGATGAGATGTACCACA